CCAAGCCACCCGCACCCAGCTGAGCTTCTCCCCACTCCACTGAATCTGCCTTTCCCAGAACTTAGGGTGCCCCAGGTGCTCTTGAATGGTACCCTCAGAGCTCGATGCTGTCTGGCCAGGCAGAGAAGGCCAGACTCCCTCTTTCTGCACCCAAAACCTAATCTCTAACTCCAGGATCTCTGAGCAAGGACCAGTCAGTTGGTGGCCTAAAGAGAACATGATGCTGCATCTGCTGCCCAGACACCAAAGCCTGAGCTGTCATCGGTGGAATAAGCCAGATCCAGAAGCTTGTGGTTGAGGGTCTCTGTTCACCCAGGCCCAGAGCTCCCATCACCACCCAGAGAAGGGCAGCCTACGCTGGCTTCTTCAACGCATGTTATTTCCAAGTGACTTCTCCATGCATCTGTAACCCCAGGAAGAGTCTGCGCAGTCCACCAGTGCTTTGGAAGAAGGCCCGGGACCCGAGCAACAGAATCAGATTCCCCAGCACTGCTAATTTTTTTTTGTCTTTTTCAAGAATTGAAACCTTGCCTCCCAAGAGTCATCTTGCTGTGGGAGACACAGAGACGGAGGGACAGTAGGGTTGTTTGTGGCCCAGTGTCAGCTACTCACAATTTGCCAGGTGGCTGTCACCCAGACAAGTCAACAGGCATTTGTAGAGAGCTGGCCAGAGTCCCGGCCTGGTGAGGCCAGCATCTCAGTTCACATCAGGTGAGCAAAGCAGCACAGAGTGGAACATGGAGATTGCTGCTAGTGACCGTGACAGCTCGCACGGAGGGCTTATGCACAAGCGTCACCAGCACAGTGCCAAGAACTGTGGGGGTGGGGGGGAAACTGAGGCCCAGGGAAGCTAATAAAGTGTCCCAGGCAAAGGTCAGCAAAGTGGCCATAGAGGGTTCCAGGGCCCTCTGGCCACACCCTGCTCTGAAGGGGCTCTCCCCTCCTGCGATGGAACTACAACTTTGAGGGCAGAAAGTGCTATTTACCATCAGTGGACTCTTGCTAACAAAGACCCTCCCAGTGGCCCATGCCCTCCCCTTGCCTGACAATCTTAATCCTGCCATGAAACTCCACCTTCCAGGAAGTTTGGAAAACTCCGGGCTGAGTCTCTTCCTGGGACCACTCTGACCTCATGCTTCTCTTCGTTATAAGCCATGTACCATCTGTTAGCCCACACCCGGACTGCGCCTCACCTAAACATAGCATCTAGTAGATGGAGAGAGCTCACACACCTGTACTCTGTACCTGAGGACACAAAGCTGTGTTTTGCCTTGAGCCAGATCAATCCCCTTATCCTTCAGCAAAATCCTCTTTCTCATGCAAAACAGTGAAATCAAAACCTTAAGTATTTTTTAAACTTTCTCCAGAACCTCCACTGCACAGTCACAGCCTCGACTTTGCTGCAACGTGTCTTCATCGTTTGTGAGATTTGGTGTCGATTGTAATTAGGTCGAAAGGCCATGTTGGGAAATCAAAAAGGGAAGAACATTGGCAGTTTCATGTGATTCAACTAATACATATGCAAAACTCACCAAAACAGAAATGACCACGAAACAGCACGTTAACATGAGATTTTAAGTATTCTTCAATAAAGCATTCCTAGCTGAGCTGGTCACTTTTGGACTCCATGCCTGGTGTCCCATTTTTCAGGCCAGACCCCCGGACAAGGGCGTCAAGGGTCAGGGGGCACTTCTGGTTTGGCCATTAACCCGTCCCACGCCCTGGAGAAAGTCTTTCTCTCTCTCTTCACTTCTCTTCCCGTCTGAGGAGGGGATGCGCTCCCCGGAAGCTCGATGCCCTTAGAGCCGGCCGCAGGTCCGGGGGAGAGGGCTGTGTCAGTACCAGCTTGCACACTTCAGCTCTTTGGGGTGCCTCCAAAGATGATGTCAGAGAGCAGTGACTGACCACAAACACGTAAAGCGGCCATTCGAGCCTCCTAGAGATTCCCCGACCGGCAGCAGAGCGTCCCCGGCAGGACCATGGAGGCGGGGGGGTGGGGGGGGGGGTGGGGGTGGGGGAGGAAGCAGTGGGACTTGGGTTCTTTCCTTCTTTTCTTTTAATTATTTTCTCGGCAGACAGAACCCTGCCGGGATAGAACTTACTGAGTTCGGAATGTTCCAGGGCACGTTCTCAGGCTGCCCTTGTGCTCAGAGTCTGCTGTGCTCTGTGGGTGACCTCTCGGGCTCCTCCCTGCCTCTCCTAATTCCTCCGAGGGGAGGAAGACAGGGAGAGAGCTCTTTTGTCCCCCTTCGCAGCCCAGGGCACGACTGTGCGACTGTGCGGGCTGCAGGGGACGTGGTCTCAGGGCACACAGGCGCTCCCGGGGACCCTGGACGTGCCTGGGCACCGGGGGCCTTTGAAGGTGGAAAGTCTGCGTTTTGCATTAACGTGCCTCAAATGCTTGCTCCCGATTTACCTTTCAAATCATTCCTGTGGACCCCTGGTAGGGAGACTGTCCAACGTGACGGCCAGTTTGGTGGGGCCCACGGGGAAGGGCCACAGGCCCAGGCTCCTTAGGGGCCTCAGGGCCAGCATTTCCCGGAGGTGGACAAGGACCCCTGTGGCATGTGGGGGAAGGGGCGGTGCCCAGACAGCCCTGCCAACAACAGCGAGTCACAGTGGGAGCTGGGTTCTTTCCTCCCTTTTCATTCCACCGAGCTGATCACATCCAGGAGAAAGTCTCCGTGAGTGACAGGCCATCCTTAACACCTGTCTGGCACTGGCCAATGCCCTTTTGCAAACAAACAGGGAGCAGGTCTGAGGCTCACAGCCCTTAGTACACAGCTGTATGTGGCTAGGATTTAATACCACTTTCTGTTTTTTCTTATCTATTTGTATGGTAACCTCTCTATGGTAATGACACAGATTTACCTTTTTCAAAATAAACCTACCCTTTTAGTAAAATACATGTGTTGTTCAAAGGAAAAACACTGTGAAATAATGGTTTCAAGGAATATGATCCAAAATGAAACCTGGAAACACTGAGTCAAATCCTGCTTCCGACATTTGAAATGCTTTCACAGCATCCCCATCAGAAGGTCAACTGTCTCTGCTCACATGCTTCTCCTGACAGGGAGCTCACTACTTATCAAAGTCATCTCTGGTCAGCTCCACTGGGCATTCCTGCTCCCGGCAGGTTCCCCCCTGAGGCCAGGTCTGCAGGGCAGCCAGAGGCCCTCTCCTCACAGGGCAGTCTCTGCAGAGCCTGCGCCACCTCCTCCCGGCGCCCTCTTCCTCCCGGTCCCCTTGCAGTTCCTCTTCCTCTTGGAGGAAACTTCTTCCTCTTGGAGCAACAGCTGATGTTTTCTTCTCTTAAAGGGAGGTTCCAGGAATAGAGGCCAATATTCCAGGAGCAGCCACACCTCGCCCCGGTTTCCGGGAATGGAGGCTCACGTGGAGACAGCCTAGAGCCCCGAGGACATCACCAGGGACGCCCAGGACCAGACTGAATGGGCACAAGCCCCACTTGGAAGGAACGGCATTTCATAAATAGCTGTGGGCACGTGGGCGTGCTCCCATGAGCCCCAGCACCTCCTCCCCAGGCTGTGCCTCTCCTCCGCTCCTCCCCTCCCACCCCACAGGAAGAGGCCGGCCCCTGCAGCTCCTCTGTGGTCCCAGGGGTAGCAGCCTGCTGTCACACTTGGGTCATTTCTCCCTTGCCCAACTTATCTCAGGATTCAAACACACACACAGTTAACTTTTGTAGACTTCTTTTAAGATAAATTCACTTTATGGAAACTAAATAGAAAATAAATTGTGGAATGGTATTGTGATCAGCTGTTGATACGTTAACTTGATGACCCTGATGAGCCCTTATCTGCAGCAACCTCATCCCGGTTTCATTTCATTTAATGTTTTCAACAGCCCTTTGAGGAAGCCCTATCATCACCCCAGCCTCCCCGGTTCTACCGGGGGAGGAAACAGGCTGAGAGAGAGCAAGCAACTTGTTCAGGGTCACAGAGCAGGAAATACTGGCAGGAATTCAAACAGGACCTCCTGTTGATGGCCATGGGCCTGGTACCCCGCTCCTGCCTGATATCAGTGCTGACGTCAAAAAGAGCACCATTTTACCGAAAAGGCAACAGGCGGGAAACACTGGATTCCCCAAGCGGGTGCCAGCCTCACCATGCGCCCAGGGCGCGTCCCCACACCGGCGCCCTCCCAACTCCCAGGGGTGCCGGGGGCGCACTGGAAGGGGCGCGCGCAGGTAGAGCGTCTGAGGCTGGATCTGGGGGCCAGACCAAGGCCTGCAGCGAGCTTGGCGGGGCCGCCGCTCTCCCGCCCCGCCCGCGGCACCCCTGCGCCTCCGCCCCGGCCCCCACGCGGCCATTGGTGGCCTTTCTGAAGAGGTTAGGGCGGGAAACCTGACTCCCTCCCACGTCCTCGGCCCCACACCCCTGGGTTCGAATTGTGAGTCAGTTCGAAACTGAGTCGCCGCGTGACCCGGGGAACGGACTTCACCGCTCAGCTCTCTGTTTCCCGGCCTGTAGCTCCAGGATGCCGGGTCTCTCGGGGCTAGGGAGCGATTACTCAGCGGAAGGCGCGGGGCGCCGTGCCCGGCTCCGAGGGCGCCCTCGGTTCCTGGGCGATGGCCACCTGGAGGGTGGAGAGGTGCCGCAGCCTGGGGCCCCAGTCCCTCCGCCCCGCCCCTCGCCGGCTCGAGTCGCAAGCCCCTTCCTCTCTGCTCCGCCCCCGGCCCCGCCCCTCGCCCCTGCATCCGCGCCCGCTGCCGCCCTGGCCCAGGCCGCGCGCTCCCGCAGCTGTCACTTTAGTGGGCGGGCCCGGATGCTCTGGGGGGCCGGGCTCCGCTCGCAAGGCGCAGCCATTGGCCCGAGCAGGGGAGGCCAGGCCGCCGACTGTCTGCGACGGGGGCGGGCCGCGAGCGGATGAATGAAGCTGGAGTGGGCTGCTAGAGGACCGCCAGAGCCTGGTGCGCAGCGCGGCGGCGGGGCACCTGGAACGGTGAGTGCTCCCCCGGGCGAGGGCCGCGGAGGGTCGGGGCGCCCAGGTTCGCCGGGCCGACATGCTGACGTGAGGAGCGCAGCAGGTGCCCGCGGATGTTGGGCAGGAGCCAGCCGGATCGAGGTGGCGCCGGCGCTGGCGCGGCTGGGGATGCCGGGCGGGGCGGGAGGCCGGGCCCCGGCAGTGTGCCCAGAGCCGTCCTCGGACGGGAGGGCGGGACCAAGCGCGGACCAGCGCCCGGCAGCCCGGCTGCCTCTGGGGAATCAGACGCAAACTGCATCCCCCTCTCGCTGCCAGCTCTCCAGGCGGGAAGCCTCCGAGGAGACAGGCGTAGAAGGAAGGGGATGAGCAGTGGTTGGGGCTCTGGCGGAGATGGAGGCAGTGGCCAGGGCAGGTAGCCTGGCAGGTGGCGGGGCGCGCACCCTGGCACAGGCCACGTGAGTCGGGCTGGGGACAAACGCGCCTCCCGGAGCTCCAGGGTTGCGGCGGGCCCCCACCTCCGGCGTATGCGGCTGTGCTGAGTCAAGGAGAAGATCGTCAGCACAGAAGTTTCTCGTGGGCGGCCGCGCTTTGTTCGCACCAGCCGCGCTCCAGGCACCTGGGGGAGGGGAGCGCGGGCGGAGCCGCCTTCGCGGGGCGGGCTACCCGGCCAGGGCATGGGGCGGGTCCCCAGCCGCGGAGACTCCCGCCGCGCCCCTGTCCCCACCCTGCCACCGGAGGTCCCCGTGCCTGGCGCAGAGCCTTGGCTGGGCGACCCAGGCGCCCCGGGGTGTGGGCAAGGGGAGGGGGAGGATGGAAACGAGAGTGCGGGCCCACCCTTGACGCCTGGTGGACACACTTGACCCCGGACCGGGAAACCGAGGAACCCGGGTCAGACGCAGGGACTTGCACCTCCTGGGAGCGGGCCTCTGCCGGCAGAACCGTGTGGGGAGAAGCTGGCTCGGGCAGTGTGGGTCAGCGCCGCTGTCAGCCTCGGCTGCCAGGCCTGTGTCGGTCTGACACGCTAATGCCCGCGGTAGTTTTCCACAGGAGGGCACCAGCCTCCCAGTCCGGCTCCTGCTCTGCTCTTTGGAACTTATCTTTCCTCTGTCTAATCAGAGACGGGCTCGGGGAGCCCCTCTGGGACATGAGAGCCCCAGCCCGGCCACGCTGCTAAGTTTTTATTTGGGGCAGGGCAGGCACGTGGACTTCAGAGGAGGGCCAGCGCCTGGTTTTACCCACTCCGTTTATGAATCTGACGATAGCCATCACATTACTGACGACAGGAGCTGTTTACTGACCAGTCAGCATATGCCAGGCCCTGTGCCAAGTGCCTTGAGTAGTATCTCATCTAACCCGCACAACACCAGCAGGAGGTGGCTACTGTCCCACCCAGTTTACAGAGGAGTAAACTGAGGCATTGAGCCATTAAGTGACTTGCTCACCATCACACAGCTAGTTCGAGGTGGAGACGTTTGAATCCAGGTTTGTGTGACTCCAGACATCTCACAGCTCTGTCTCTGGTGGGGAGAATTCGACCCAGGAGAGCCAGGAACAGTGTCCCAAAAGGTCGGCCTGCAGCTAAGGGGACAGGAGCCTTTGGCCAGCATAGCCAGTATCGTGGGACGTGGAGGGTCCTCTCGGGGAGCAAGCGTGCAGTGCTGGCTTTCCCACGTGCTGCTGCGGGGAGAGGAGGAAGGGCCTGTTGCTGGGCCCCATGCTCCTAGCAGCCCTGCATCGGGACCTGTGTCGCTGTCCTGCTGGGTAGGGCCGGCGGATACTACCTGGAAGTTTTTCATCGAGCTGCTTTGTTCTGGGTGGCTGTGACCTCCTCCACAGCTCCCTGGGTGTGGCCCGTGAGCAGGTGCCAGGTGGCTCCCAGCCGAGTTCCTCCCTCCGCCGTGGTTTGGTGGCCGGTGCCTGGAGGTCGGGCAGAAGGGTCGTGTGAGTGGAGGTCTTGGGACTGTCCTCTGTCCTTGTGAGAGGGCCTGACTGCAGGCGACTCAGCCCAGAGTCGGTCTCCCGGGCCTCATCGGAGCCTTGCCTTGACAAACCCAAGGTTGCAGCTTGGGTTCCAGCTCAACATCTGGCTTCCGAACAGCAAAGGTTTCCTCAGCTCCTTGTGAAATCTGAGTTGAATGACCAGCTTAGCATTGTCTCTGAAATGCCGTCCATCTAGAAGTCTCTGTGAGTGTTACTCCATTTCCCAGGACAGCACTGCTGAGCCAGTATAAATTCACAGCTCTGTGGACTCATGCGCTGGAGCGAGTCTCTGCCGACTGTGCTGTTTGACCTGAGGCCTCCCCGTGGCTCACGGGCAGGTCGCCGGCCCAGAGCCTGGTGCTCGAGGATGAGAGGGAGCTGGGCTGGGGCAGCTGGCCAGCGGGGGACCCAGAGGACTGCCCAGTCCTACTCCTGCTTCCTCCGTTGTTTCGTCCAGCTGGGTGTGGACAGACACCATGAAAATATTCCTTCCGAAGCCACCTGGTCTCCTGCTCTCAGGCATGGCAAAGAGCTCATTGTCTGCTTTTGGAAGGGGATATACAATAATCCTCAGAACCTGAAGGCTGCATTTGTTCCGGACATCCAGCTGCTTGTCTGGCCGTGGTGTGGTCGTGGTGGGTGTGGGAGCTGACCACAGGGCAGGACCCAGTCTCTAGCCTGGCAGGTAATCGGACAGGCTTCCAGGATTCTGCCTCTGAGCAGGAGGGAGGCACCAGCTCAGGCCTCATGTGACTGGGCTGTCGTGTGACTTAGTGGAGCCCGGGCCCTGCTGGAGGAAGAAGAGGAAACTGGCCTGGCTGCCAGCTCGCTGGACCCCAGCTTGCATCCCCCCTAGGCTGTTCGTGAGGACTCGTCCTGCTGCTGGACCTGCTCAGCCCTCAGCCTGCTGTCCTCAGACAGCCCTCATGTTCCCCCATTGGCCGCGGCTCAGCCCCTTCCTGCCAGGGTTACACAGAATTAGCCTCTCGGACCACATTTCCAGGGGCAGGTGCATGCCTTCACAGACCACATGTCTTTTGCAAAAGCCACTCACGGTGTGGCCAGTTGAGGCCCACCAAGGACCAAAGGCAGAGCAGGGCTTCCTGGCCAAGGCCTGGCCGGCTCCACTTATCAGTGCCCAGAGAGTCGCAGGCTCACGGGCTGTGGGGCCGTCAACAGGTCTTCTCCTCCCACGCGGGCCTGGCTCCAAGTGAGCACCCTCGCCCTGGGGGCTGCCTTTCTCCATGGCTTTTTGATCTGGGAAGACTTGGAGGTAGCTGAGGCCTCGCCCCTCGGCCCAGCCAGAGAGGGTGTGAGCTGGCGGGGCTGAGGGTGGTGCCTGCTCCCGCCCCAGGCTGGCGAGCAGTTTATTGTGGGGTCTACCTCTCAGCAGGCACTGTGGGCCTGATCTTTGGACCCACAGGCTCATCCTGTGGACAGAGCCACCTCCCCCCAGCACCCCAAGCCCCGTGCGGCCCTTCTGCAAGTCTGTGTTTCTCACAAGCCCCACGTGGTGTCCAGACCCACTGTGAGCAGAGGGGCTGGGTCTTCCCCTCGGGGACCCACTGCTTCTTCCCTATGATGTCACGCCCCTGTTACAGTGGAGAAACTGAGGCCCAGAGAGGACTGAGGGGGGAGCGCCTGCCTGGCTCCAGGCAGCCCCTGTGCGTCCTCCCCCTGCGCGTGCCCCTGCATGGCACGGAGACTGGCTTTGTTTCCAGCCCCAGGGGTCAAGTGTTAGGGGTCAGACGGATGAGTGAACTTACACACGCCTCCCTCTGGCTTCTCCTGCCCTCCCCACACTCCTGGGCTCGGGCCATGGGGACAAGGGTGGGAGCAGGAATGTCTGTGCTGAGACAGCAGGACACTCCCTGAGGGACAGGCCCTTTCATGCTCTCTCAGACAGTCCTGCATTGTTAGCCTCCATGCAAAGCAGCTGACCTCCCACCCGCTCACCTGCTCATGGTCACCAGGTATGCAAATCGGGTGTACCGTGCACTGCAGTGGCCACCTAGATCCTGCCACCAGCATCCGCTCTATGAATAGCTTTGAGTCTCGTCTCCACTCCCGGACTCATAGGAAGAGGCACCAGGATGGATGTAGGAGGCCAGAGAAGGGAGCTGCCTGCAGAGTCCCCAGGTCATGAGGGGAAAGACTGAGGTCATGAGGGTGGGGGTGGGGGGGGGAATGGCCTGGGTGGCAGGGGCTGTGCAGGAGCCCAGGCAGGGGCTGCCATGTTGGTGCAGGCACGTCCCAGTGGCATGGGTTGCCACTGGCAGCCTCAGAGCCATCAGGTGCAGCGAGAACCTACTGGCTGGAGCATAAAGAGAAGGAGAAATGAAACCTGTCATTCTTCCCCTCCTGCTGAGTTCTGGGCGGGGTTCTGGGGGAGCCTGGGAGCAGCCCTACTGTTCTGGCCTGAGCTGCTGGAGCCAGACTATCCCACAGGAGCCAGGCCGACAAGGACCAGGGGCCACCAGCCAAGGCTTAAAATATTGCTCTCAGTAATCCTGTGTCCTTCCTACCTGCCCCGCTTTGTGGACAGCCTCCAACTGGGAAATGAGTCCATATACGGGGCCCTGCATGCGTGAGCACCCTTGGACATCAGTGAGCAGAGACGGGGTGTGTGTTCCGGCTGGTTCAGGCCTTTGTTGACGCTGGATCTCAGTTCTCACAGACCAGGCTGTGGGGAGCCACCCAGTGGGGCCACTGGCTTCTCACAGTGCAGCTGTCAGGGGCTCGTGAGGAGGAGGTGCAGGTGGAGGTAGGGGGGAGGTTTGGAAAGAGGGCGTGCTTTGAGGTGCAGCTGGTGGGCCAGGCCAGTGTGTGGGAGTCGAAAGAGAACTGTGGTCTCCTTCTAAAAGAGCGTGCATGTGCACATGCGCACACACACACACACACACACACGCGCACACACACACACGCACGCACACACACACACGCACACACACACGCACGCACGCACACACACACACGCACACACGCACACACACACACCCTCCCCCTCCCCCGATGCCCCAGGTGCAGAGCCCTTGGCTGGAGGCGCCGGCTACACATGATCCTCCCCGCTAATCGCCCTCACCTAATCCCGCAGGGCTGTGACTCTCCCGAGGGCCTGAGGGCCTCAGGCAATAGGAGGGCGACTCCCAGGATGCCCTCCTCCTACCTCTCCCCTGCCCGGGGACAGGCCGGGGGATGGGATAAACTCCCCTGAGAGTGGGCGCCCTGCCTGCTTGCAAGGGCTGCGTGTTCACTGTGCCCTGGAGGTCGCTGCACGAGGAGGGTCGCGCTCTCCTTGGACATGAGGAGGGGATTTTCAGCTTCTGCGCCTCTCAGGCCAGGAGAGTCATCTCAGGCTTCACTAGAGCTTCTCCAGCCTCAGATGGTCTCCCACGAGAAAGCGGCAGGGAGAGGTCAGGCTGAGAGGTGAGCAGGTACCCCAGGGCCCGGCGGCCACAACGGGCTAGGGCTAGGGGTGGGGGCAGTGGGCAGAGCCACCAGCCCTGTCCCCTCCCCAAGAGGCCCCCTTCTTGTGCCATCTTGGTTTGGGGGTCACGTGGCTGGAGCACCCAGGAGACCTTACCACTTGTCCAGTGTCAGCGGTCGAGCACAAGCCGTGGGGAGCATCTGGCTGGGTGGGGAGAGTGACCATCAATATGTGGGGTGAAGGACTCACCTCCCCTGATGGGGGATTTCAGTGAGTCTGTGTGTGCATGGGAGAGGGCCCAGCCAGCACCAGGCCCACGGAATGTTCGTGCACAGCGATGGTGGTGGTGGGCATCCTGTCAGATGTCTTTCCCCACAGCCCTGTCCCGGGCCTGGTGGCAATGTGGGCTTGGCTCCAGGCCACCTGCCTCTCACCTCCACCTGCTCTCCACAGCCTGTGCGGTTCGGATTTGTAGCCGTGGGCAGCTTGGGTAGGGGCTGCGGCTCGTCATGGATACGATGGTGTCCTGGGGGTCCCCGAACCCCAATGCCAGCAAGGACCCCCCTACAGCAGGGGTTGGAATAGAGCTGCTGCTGTGTCAGGCAGGGCGCCCCAGAGTAACACAGCCAATAGGACAGAGATATACACACATATAAAGGTTTATTATAAGAACTTGGTCCATGCGATTCTGGAGGCCAGCAAGTCCCAAGATCTGCAGTTGGCAAGCTGGGCCCAGGAGAGATGAAGGTGTGGTCCCAGTCTGAAAGCTGGACTCAGCCGCTGTGACCAAAATGCCCTTGTGCCCCGTGTCAGTCCACTGACTGCAGGACCACGTCTGGAGCAGAATCTGCTTCCCCCAGTTTCCCGACAGAAGGGCAGCAGAGCCATACATCGCTGCCTAGACGCAGCCACATGAGATCTTGGTACAAACTCGGCACTTTCCTCCGGAAAACCGTGGACGCAGGACTGTCCTCATGGCTGTGAGATTCCAAGTGTCGCACAGCCTAGACTCGCTCAGGATCCGGCCCCCTCTGCTGCTGGGGGGGGTACATCCCAGGTGCCACCTGCTCCATCTTCAGCCCGAGGGCCCAGCCTCCCGCTTCCTGACTCTGCTGTTAGGGGCCAAAGCCTTCCAGAGAGAATCCGGCCTTCCAGCCAGGAATGCGGTACCTGGAGCAGAGCTCTGGCGTCGTGAAAGATTATAATAAACACTCGAACAGGCACTGTCACCCGAGAGCCGACTTGATGGAGAAACGGCACCATCACAGACAAGGTGGGAGGGCACCCCACAGTCACACGGCTGTGGGTTCAGGAGACTCGTCAGAGGCCGGCTCCTGACGGAACTCAACCTGTACGGCTGCAACTGCCGGCGGGTCATCCGGCTAACAACTGAGGTCGGGTTTTCAATTTGCTACTTGAAGTGTATGTGGTGTGTGATTTTGAGTTGAGCTTTAAATATTCATGTCACATCCATAGCACTTAGTTCAGGTAACATTTTACCACTGGAGGTCTGACCCTTCCTGTCCGTCACTAGTCTGTCAACTGTTTCTCCTGCAGCAGCTGGGCTGAGGGTTAAAGCAGTCCAGCGTGGGTGGGGAGTGGGGAGTGGGGAGTGGTTTGACGCCACCAATACCTTGGTCTGCAGCTTTTGGATCCCTTACTGGGAGCACTGACCTGGGATTCCAGAGTCCTCATCAGCACTGACCCTCCATCCCCACAGGCCACTGCATACCCTGCTTCCCCGGCCAGCCCCTTGGCTGGTTTTGGCTCCTTCCCTTTGGGGTGTGTCCCCACCCAGAGATGAGGTCCAGTGCCCCGTCATTTGCGTGTGTGTGAAGGTGCAGGCGGTTATGTGTGCACACGTTGGTGTGCATGCACACAGATGTATGTTGGTACGTGTGTGTGTGCATGTGCACGTGCATTGAGAAAAAATACTAGAGGAAAGCATACCACGGGGTTGACGCATCACAGCCTCTGGGCCTTGGAATTTCGGGTGAGTTTGGGCGTTTCTCGTATTTTCTGCATCTCCAGGTGGCAGCCTGTCTGAGTTGCAGGCTACTGGGTGGCAGAGCTGCCCTGTCCCAGGGCTTGTCGCTCTCATCCAGGCTGCACGTGGCCATCGAGTGCTTGCGGTAAATGTGCAGTAGGTCCGTCCTGGCTCCGTCCCGTGAAGGGGAGCATCGCCTTCTGCTCCTCCTGAAGATTTGCCCGTCCTTCTCTAACACGAACATCGCCCTTCCTTAGGTGTTCTCTTTCCAGCTCCTCTCGCGACCTCGCCTGCCGTGCCAGCTTGCACAGAGGTGGTGGCACTATAAGTAAAACGCCAGGCTTGGGCCTGGGCACCCGGGGAAGGGCTGCAGTAGAATTTCTGCTGCCCACGCACGGCCTCCAGACACGGCGGCCGACGCCTGGCAGCACCAGTTTCCAGGGTAAACAGCCGGCCCCATGTGTAAATGCAATTGGTCATGGGTCTTTCAATAAAATGTCAGCGGGGACGGCTGTGACACACGCACAGGGCTCTGGAGCCAGACAGTGTGGGTCGAGTCCTAACGGCTGCTAGGCCGGCTGTGTGGCTTGGGGCAAACTGCTGATGACCCCTCTGGGCCTGCTTCCCTTCCCTGTCGGGGGGGCCAGGGCCAGGTGTGCACCAGCGACCTGCACACAGCCTGGAAATGTGTGGCAACATCGTGGGATGGTGCCGAGATATCCCGTGGAGTGGGGTCTTCAGAGCTTACCATGTTCCCCGGCCAGTGACATTTGCACCCGCAGCCCCGCCCAGGGAAGGCCAGAGAGGAGCCCTGGGGGGAGGCTTACGTCAGCTAAGCGGGCGCACCCTTCTACTTGCACAGAGGAGCGTGGCGGTGGCCACTCGCCTGCTGCCTCGGTGAGGTGGCTGTGCCGAGAAGGCCAGGAGCAGGCGGAGGTTGTGGCAGAAGCACCCGGAACCCCCAGCCCCTGGGCTCGGTCCACGGAGGGTGGGGAGCGAGGGCAGCCAGCGCTGTCAGATCTCTTCAAGTGCCACACTACATCCCAGACCTGGGTGCGGCCACTGTGGACACCCCTGCTATCAGCCTGGGTTGGTTCCCAGTGTGTCTGCAGGGACGACACAGGATAACGATGCTCTTTTCTTTAAAAAAAAAGCAACAAACTAAAGCAGCCACCTGCCCTCCGAGCACAGAAGTGTCTGCTTGGCGGCTGCAAAGCCCTCTTTGCTCTCGGATCGCAAAGGCCCTTGCTGGGGGCAGCCCTCCCGACGTACCCTCCCCACCCGCAGCCCAGCGGGTGTGGGTGCCTCCTGCCCTGCTCACCTCCTGTTCTGAGCATCTGTTCTGCTCAGACTCCACCTCCTGGATCCGGGGGGTAGTATGTGACTCCTCTTTGCCTCCTCGGGGGGCGGTACCAGTGTCCCAGGGCTGCTGTGACAAAGCACATGAGCCAGAGGGTGTGAAACAACAGGAATGTGTCCTCCTCCAGTTCTGGAGATGGGCAGGCTGAGGTCAGGTGTGGGCAGGGCGGCGCCCCCTCCAGAGGCCCCGGGGAGGTTCCCTCCTGCCTCGCCCAGCTTCTGGGGGCCCCAGGTGTCCCTTGGCTTGTGGCTGCATGGTTTCCATCTCTGCCTCCGTCACCACGTGGCTTCTCTGTGTCCTCTTCTAAGGACGCTTGTCCCTGGACTTGGGTGCCCCAGTCCGGGATGACCTCATCCCAAATCCTGAATCACAGCTGCACACACTGTTTCCAGATAAGGTCACCCTCAGGGCGTCTGGGTGGAAGTGCCTTATTGCGGGGGCCGTCATTTGCCCCCTTCCGGGTCCCCAGTGAGGGCCCAGCAGAGCCATGTTCCATGCCTAGTCTCCTTGAAGGAATCTCAGCCTAGAAATTTGGTCTGAAATACAACTCTGGAGGCGGCGCCAGCCCCCTCCAGCAGCATCTCCGTGTCGGCCCGCCCCAGTGTCCTTGCGTGTGGTGAGGGTGGGGGTGGAAGTGAAGCCCTGTGCCAGGTGCGTCTGGGTCTGAGGACCCCTTGGGGCTCCGTGTTGCTGCTAAGGGGGCCCAGCCCTGGGTGAGGCCAGCAGGCAGCTCCCCCCCGCCTCTGAGCGCAAACCCATGGTGCTTCTTGTGCCTCTGTGACGTGATCGTCTCCAGAGTGACGGTGCTTCAGACACGCTGGAGCCTCTGCACGTGAAGTGGCCCGACCTGAAAGGCAAAGGGTGTGTCAGTGTCCTGGGGCTGCCGGACAAAGGACCCCAGACAGTTATTGTCTCTGTTCTGGAGACGGGGAGTCCGAGCCGAGGGTGTGGGCAGGGTGTTCCTTCCGAAACCGTGAGGGAGGATCGGCTCCAGGCCTTGCTCCTCGCCAGTGGACGGCCGTCGTCGTTTCTCACCGTGCTCTCCCCGTGCGCGTCTGTGGCCAAATTTCCCTTTTCGAAGGGACAGCAGTCCTAGCGGACCAGGGCCCCCCCCCCCCCCGTGGCCTCGTGTTACCTGAGGCCCTGTCTCCAAACACACTCACTTTCTGAGTGCGGGCTTTGGGCTCCAACAGTCTCTTTTGCTGGGAGGACGCAGCTCCTCCGATGGGAAGTGTGTTGCAGGCTGCGGAAGCCCCTCGGCCGAGGGTGCCCGGAGCCGTGCGAGTACAGCAAAGACCGACTGCTTTCTGTCGCGGCAACCGTGTGCTCGTGTGTTAACCGGTTTATTTCTGGCCGAAAACCAGCTTTTTGCCTCTTAAGATGCAGAATGGTTGTAGCTCCTGGAGTCCTAGGCAGCCTTGGGGCATCCAGGAGGAGCTGTTTACTGGCAGTAAGTGCCACCCGTCTAAACGTAGGAGTCGGGGGCAGGGGCATTCGGGATGCGCGGGGAGCCCCCGGGAGCCTCGCCACGCAGTCATGGCTCAACCACAGCCGAGCTCCTGCTGGATGGTGGGGCAGGAATGGGAAGTGAGGGCCCAGCAGGCGACAGGACCGGGCTGGTGGGGAGGTCAGCAGGAAGGTGGAGGGCCAGCACGCCTTCCTGTGAACTGGTCCACAGGGCTGCAGACCACAGCTTGGTTTACTGTTTTGAAAAAACCGCCGCAAGACGGAACACAGCTGCGTGGAACCAGTGAGGCCCAGTGCCGCCAACCCTCCTGCTGGGCGCCATCCCAGAGCTGCTGCGCTTAGGCTGGGGTCCAGGCCCGCTGCTCATGCCCCCTCCTCATTTCCCACACCCTCCAAGCTCTGGCCTAGGATACATTTCTTCTTTATGCTACAGGGCGGCTACGGCTGGCAGGCTGTGAGTTAGGGAAGAGCCCACTGCACTCCATGCTCCGCGTGAAGAGTTTCCACACGGGGCTCTCAGGGACCCTCACCTGCAAATGGCAGAACACACAGCTCACACAGGCCGAGCAGGCCATTGGGGGAGCAAAGGTCAGGGTGATTCAGGGGCTCCCATGGGCGTCTGACTCGGTCCTGCTGTGTCTCGGCTCCACTCTCCCCTTTGTGGCCTCATTTGGGCTGGCTCTGCCCTGTGACCAGGCCGGGGCACATGCCCACCCACCGCCGAGCTGTGGCCACAGACGTGCTACCCTGAGTGTGTGGGTCCAGGTGGGGCCCTGGATTCAGGGAGGGGGCTGCTCAGGGCGGGTCAACCCCCCAGACGGTACCTGGCAGGCAGAGCCACTGGCGGCCCTGAAGGACAGGGCGTGCGTAAATGTTCTCGCTGGGACATGAATGCGTTCGAGGGGGGTGCACGTTTGCTCACCAGAACTTTTTCTCACAGAACAAACTGGCCGCTGGGACACTGTTTGGCGACTTCCACTGCTGGCACTGTCACCCCCTCGGCAGAGATGCCCCAGCACTCAACGGGGGACAAGCCGCTCCTCTCCACGCCACAGCTGGTCTTCCCCAGCCTGCCCTCGGCCGTGGACAGCGGGTGTGGCCACACCCCCCCCAGCCGGCGGGCATCGATCGGCTCGCCTCTGAGCCCCGGCGCCCTGCGTTCCGCCACCCACAGCCCCCTGGACTCCTGCAGCCAGCCACTGTGCCAGCTGCCCGCTGAGAAGCATGGGCCCCCGGCGGCCCGTGAGGTGCGCTACGTGTCGGCAGGGCCCAAGCGCCTGGCGTGTGGCTGGTGGGCCTTCGCCCCTGAGTGTCTGCAGGCCTTCAACACGCCCAGGGGCTTCCTGCTCTTCCTGTGCGTGGCCTCCTTCCTGCAGGGCATGACGGTGAACGGTTTCATCAACACCGTCATCACCTCCATCGAGCGGCGCTACGACCTGCTCAGCTACCAGAGCGGCCTCATCGCCAGCTCCTACGACGTGGCCGCCTGCTTCTGCCTCACCTTCGTCAGCTACTTCGGGGGCAGTGGACACAAGCCGCGCTGGCTGGGCTGGGGTGTCCTGGTCATGGGTGCCGGCTCGCTGGTGTTCGCGCTGCCCCACTTCACCTCGGGCCCCTACCAGGTGGAGGTGGACGAAGGCATCGGGACGTGTCAGGCCAACCGCAGCGTGGCGTGTGGGAAGAGCACCTCAGGTCTGTCCAGCTACAGGCTGGTCTTCATGCTGGGTCAGTTCCTGCACGGCGTGGGCGCCACGCCCCTCTACACTCTGGGTGTCACCTACCTGGACGAGAATGTCAAGTCCAGCTACTCGCCAGTCTACATCGGTGAGTGGGGCCAGTGAGGGGACAGGCAGGGTGTGATGATGGCTGCTGACACTGACCTGGCGCCTCCTTGGAGCCTGGCCTCATCCAAGCCCTTACATGCATTTCCCCGTTGGCCACACATGGTCACATGTGGCCACAGGTGCTCCTAGCGAGGCAGCAGGTGAGCACAGGCTTTGTTCCACCTGCAGCGCCTCAGGTGGTGGAGGTGGTGCCGGGGGACAGACAGCTGCAGAAACGCAGGTGTGGGGAGGGGTCTTCTCTTAGGCGGGCCCCACGTGTCTTCTGAGTGTCAGACGCTTGTGAGCCCCCAGCACTCTGCTTCCCTTCCAGCCATCTTTTACACGGCGGCCATCCTCGGCCCCGCAGCCGGCTACCTGATCGGAGGCGCCCTGCTGAACATTTACACAGAAATAGGCCAACGGTGAGTGTCTGGGTCCCATCCTGCCTTGTGGCACTCTTGATACGCAGAGAAAACCCTGCGCTGTCTGTGCAGGACCCGCGTGGCCCTGGGCGGTGTTGTTACAGAGCAGGGTGCACAGTGAGAGTGTCTGCACTCCGAGGACCGTAGCCCTGAGCAGGAGGAAGTGCAGGCTGGCCTTTCTGTAGGGGACCTGGGAGTCTGTGGGTGGCTTTGAGAACTGGCCTGAGGGAGGGGCAGTGTGGACAGACAGCTCCCCGGACCAGGCGGGACCAGGCCACATCATCTCTAACGCCCTTTGTGTAACCAAGAGCCGGTTTTTCTGCTGCCAGCATCAGATTATTTTGTGTGGGGTGCCCTAAATTCAACTCAGTTCTGAGACTGACTCCCTGAAGTCAGTGCAGACCCCACAGGTTAAGGGCTCAGTCCCACAAGGCCACCCCACTTCAGACGCCAGCCGCAAGTACTGGGTCCTGGGTCACCCCCAACTTCTGTCCACCTTGGCTACAAATCAGAGGTTCCCACGACCCCCTCCTTGGGCTCGGTAATTTGCAGAACAGCCCACCAAACTCAGGAGGGCACTTCACACTTTACTAGGTGACCAGTTTATTATACAGGATGCGACTCAGGAACGGCCAGATGGAAGAGATGCGCGGGGCAAGGTGTAGGGTGGCGGGAGCTTCCACGCCCTCTGGCGGTGCGCCACCCACCCAGCATCCTCGTGCTTGCCCCCCGGAGCTCCCCAAATCCCTTCGGTCAGGGTTCTTGTGGAGGGTTCGTTATGTGAGCACGACTGATGGACTCATTGTCCATCAGTGATTGACAGCCTCCCAGAGGTCCGGGGGTGGGGCTGACAGTTCCAACTCCCTAATCACATGTTGGTCTTTCTGTGACCAGCCCCATCGGAAGCCCTCGAGGGTCCCACCAAGAGTATCCACATTGCAACAAAAGATGCTCCTGTCACCCAGGAAATTACAGGGGACTCAGGAACTCTGCATCAAGAAACTGGGGAGAGGCCAAATATTTATTTATTATGTCACGTGGTGTCTCTTTCGTTTCCTTGTATCTTTCGTTTGTGACGCTGGTTTTTATAAATTTGAGCAGGAGAGAGAGTTACAGAGATAGAGACAGAGAGACAGGAAGAAACAGAGAGATGGCGGGGGAGAGGTGGGGAAGGAAGGAAGTGTACCCTCCGACCAAGCAGGCTCTGGAGCCCGGACCATCCTCCACGGGGGCCCGTCCCTAGGTCTCCCCTCTGGATGGCTGCCCCGCTGTCTGCTGAGACTTGCGGTGGGCACCGCGGCACCGTGGGACTCTCTGCAGATGGTGCCCTCCAGTCGAGGTGTCTAGTGCTCTGACCTGGTACAAATGCCACCTCTGGCCTCAGGCTACTGATATGGGCGTCAAATGTGCATGTTCTGTGCAGAGTGCCTGGAGATCAGTGGGGCTCATGTCCCTCACTCTCCACACCCTCTCCCTGTGCCGGGATCTGGGCCGCTTGGCACGAAGAGGAGGCAGGCAGCGAGGCCAGTGTGGCGCCCCAGTGCGAGAGCAAGGCAGAGCTGCGGCCCACCCTGTGGAGGGCTGCACTGCTGTCTGGTGGCCACACGGGGCATCGGTGCTCCCCACCTCCCTTTCGCCCCTCTGGGCCTCTGGCTGGCTTCTGCCCTCGCCCCTGGGTTTCCCCCATCCATGATTCTTTCCCACTTAGCTCTGAATTTGAAAGTGAGCCTGTGTGCAGATCGCGGTCCCAGGTGCGCCCCAGCTGTGCCCTCTGTGCCCTGAGCTTCACGAGGCCCCGGCACCATCCGTGCCCCTCTATGCTGCTTTGGGGTGCCACCTCGTCCTGCTCTGTCTGGGAGAGCCTGCCACTCCTGGGCCCGCAGCCTCCGCATGGCCTCATCAGGAGGCAGCCCCTTGGGGCCGCGGAGGAGCATCAGGACCTGAGGCCAGAGCAGAGTGAGCCGGCACGGACTGGCGAGCAGAAGGATGTGGTGTGTGCTCTGGACGCATGTAGGTCTGACGCTGACCCCAAGCGCCTCTTCCCACAGGACGGAGCTGACCACGGAGAGCCCACTGTGGGTCGGCGCCTGGTGGGTCGGCTTTCTGGGCGCTGGGGTCGCCGCCTTCCTCATCGCGGTGCCCATCCTCGGCTACCCGCGGCAGCTGCCAGGTGGGTGCTCCCCCTGCGCGTGTAGAAGTCCTGCTCCCCCTCCTGGTTGTTTGGGCCAGCGAGGAGCACAGGGGAGTCTGGGACCTTACTTTGGGGGCAGGTGCTGCCATGCTGCGGGGCTGGCTGGTGGTCTCCCTCGACCCCTGCAGCCTCTTCTCGCTGGGGCCCCGAAAGAGGCTTGTTTCAGCTGTTGGGGGGAGGGGGTACTCCTTCAGTGCCTCTTTTTCCCTGTGGCCCCAGGTTGTTCCCCGCTGGCTCTCTCCCACCTCCCCTTCCCTGGGGGCCCGTCCCTGTGGTGCATCCCCACGCAACGGCTCTCCTCTCACACTCTGTCCACCGGACGTCCCCATACTGGAGGGCAGGGGTGTCAGGTGTGGCCTCGCGCTGGCCTCTGGTCCCTGCCTCTCGCTGACATCTGTGTCTGCCCAGGCTCCCAGCGCTACGTGGTCATGAGAGCGTCTGAAACACACCAGCTGAAGGACAGCCGCCACAAGGTGGCCAGCAACCCCGACTTCGGGAAAACCATCAGCGACCTGCCCCTGTAAGGACCTTGGGGGGGATGTGCCTCTCGCTTGCACCCATGTGCCCCAAAGATCCTTTGGGGGTCCCACACATGCTGAGTCTTGACCACGAACTAGGAGAGTCCATGTGACCCTCCAGGGCCAGTGGTGAGTGCTCAGCTTCTGGCCCTCCTCATGACCCAGCAAACTTAGGTCTTGGCCCCAAACCTTGGGCTAAAAGACTGAGGAGCAGTGGACTGACCTCCTGGGGCTGTAGCCACCAGGGACCTCAGGCCTCGCTCTGCCTCATCCCCTGACCATTTCATTAAGTGCCACGTGCGCAGGGCCCACAGGGGCTCTGCGCTGGCGCTGCCCTCCCTGTCTCGGGGTCTCTGAGGACGTGGAAGGAGCCGAACCGAGTGCATCCCTCCTGCCTCCCACCCTGCACCTGCCCTGCTCTGGGCACACAGGTGTCTTGTTTGTTGTCTTCGCTCCCCGCTCTCCTCTCTCTCACTGTGCATGACCCGGACTGGCTTCGTGGTCTTCGCACTCTGTTGAGACAAAGAGTCCTGGGCTGCCGGGGCCTCAGGGACGTGGGGCCTGGGGCTCCCGGCTGCCAAGTGCCCCTCTTAACAAACCAGGCATTCCCCGGGGGCTCTCCCAGGGCTGGGGGAGGAGGCCCTTGGATGGCTGCCCACCCAAGTCCTTGGCCTCCTCCAGCGCCTGCCCGCCTCTGCAGTGCCCTCGAGTCTGAATGGCCACCTCTAACTGGCCACGTGTAGGGCCAGGGCTGTTAGTGGCAGGAATGAGCCCCTGTTGTCCGTCTTCAACACAGGGAGGGTGAAGGGGCATCAGGGCGTAGGGTGGCCTCCAGGGAAGCCCCCATGCTGTCCAGGCCTTGCTCCCCTCAGAGGGGAAGGAGGGCTGGCTGCTGGGGGTGGAGGGCTGCACGCCCCCCACATTTAGGACTTCACTCTCCAGTTGCCCACTTCCTGTTAGACCACCCAGAAGAGCTGCCCACTCAGGAGGTGCCCCCAGGGAGGCCAAGCTGGCCAGGTGTCACCCAGTGCCTGCAGTGGAGCTGCTCTGAGCTTGGGCAAGGCCACCTGCTCCCTCCATGCAGCTCTGGGCCCTGAGCACGTGACAGCCTGGTCCCCAGGGGACCCAGGACCATGGCCAAGATAAGGAGGTTTATGCCCAGGCTCAGCCAGGCTCAGTTCACCAAACCAGTTGCTGGTAATAAAGTAAATCCCGGCACACATGCCCTTTACTAAGGTCATAACTAGTTCTCCAAGCAATTCAACATAAGAGTTTCAGCTGAGCAGCCTGAGGGCCAGGGTTAAGAAAGGAGGCCGTCTGCATCTCCCCACCGAGCCTGGCCAAGCGCCCGAGGCCTGGGCAGGTCTGGGCAAGGCCCGGGGAAGTGACCACCACACCCAGGGCACCCCCTTGCCTTCACACAGGACCTGAAAGCCCCACCCTGGAGAAGGTGCTGGGGACAGGCCAATGCCCTGAGCCCACGGGAGGCCCCACCCGGCCAGCACCCACTCTGGGGGGCTTTTCCTCCACGGCCATTGTCTTTCCTTCAAGGACGTGGGACTCAACCAGTTGACCAGAAAGAAGCCTTTTCAGGGCTCAAGTTTGAAAGTCAGTTTTGACGGAATCAGGTCCCCCCATTTGAAGCAGGACGGGAACGAGACTGTGAGTGCTCTTCTGCAGTTGATCTGAGTGAGTTGACAAGACTCCCAGAGCCACTGTATCTGAAAAGCCGGGTGGAGCCTCCTCCACCAGCAGCTCCCTCCCGGCCACCTGCTCCAGGTGTTGGGAGGGGCCAAAAGGCTAGTGGCAGCCACGCTGCGCGTTGGTACTTTCCAGAACCCAATTTACAGTTGGCCTATGTCCTCAAAAGGAAGAGTCTGAGAGTCAGGGGAGCCAAAGTTGCTTTGCCAAGTGCTGGGAGGTATTAGCTCTGACCCCTGGACAGACGGGGGCTCCCTTCTGCCGTGAGGATGACTGGGCTTTGTGGAAGCCGGTTCTCGGGGCAGCAGGTGCACGAGGACAGACGAGCACTGCCTCCCTTATAGAAGAGCCGAGAGCTGTCCACTCAGATTACGTGCACAAGGGAGGGCCGCTCTCCGCGCCGTCCAGTAGTAGTTGTTGTAGCCTGACAGTGGTCACTGAGAGAGTGCTCCTGTCCCGCCCTGACCTGGCTCCAGAAAGAACTCTGCCCCGCCCACATCACTCCCGCATTCTGGGGACAAGGCGTAACCACCTCCACCAGCTCCTGGGCGCCGGCCCGGCTCAGGTGTGCGGGAGAGCCGCCTGCCGCGGGAGTGTCTGCCCCCCCAAGGCTGAGCCGCCTCCCTTCCAGACCCCGAGTGTTTCCTGTTCTGAGCTCAGCCTCCGTCACTGCCCAGAAAGGAGGGGTTTGTTTGTCTTGTTTTGTGTCCTCGTGATGTTTTGATGGTCCCTTGCTTGGCGTCTTGCGCGTTTAAACAGCGCACTCAGTGCTGACACTGCTCGGCCTCCAAACCCTGACGAACCAGAGCGTGGGGCCGAGGAGCAGCCCTCAGGGAGACTTCTTGCTCATCCACGAGCGGGCGGACGTGGGGCAGGGCCTGGCGTGGAGCCCCCACCCTGCTGTGACCCTGGGGGAGCAAGTGGAGGCAGCGGGGTGACCCAGCACCTCCAGGTTCATGGCCTGCGGCCACCGCTCCTGGAGCCTGTTCTGCGAGCTTCCACCTCCCTCCACCCTATAGCGAGACCGAGGCCGGGTGCCCCCGGTCCGGGCTGGCAGGAGTCCCCTTTGCCTCAGAAGGGGGTCCTGGCTGGGTTCGCCAGGGGACCCCTTCCTCGGGCCCCCAGCCTCACCCCACCAAGTGCTCACCAAGAGAAGTTGGGGAGCCAGCCAAGCCCCCCAGGGGCTCCCTGGAGGGGCCTCTCTGTCCAAATCCATAGGGCTTCCTGCCCCCTTCTCAAGGGCTGGTGGTTGAGAAGGAGCCCCCCTCAGCATCCTGTTCCCCTTTCGAGGGGGCTAGTCCAGTCCTGGACTTGGTGACAGCTGCCTCCCTCCAGCCCCCCGGCTCCTGGTTCAGGCCCCTCTGCTGGTCCTCCCAGCAGCCCCTGGAGGTGATTAAACAGAGTCACGGCCACTCAGGGTCTCTCCCCCTGCCGAAGCCGGAACGCTGGCCCAGGATAAGGTCCTTCCGTCATCAGACTCAGCAGCCGTCGCAAGCCGCAGGCTCAGAGTCAAGGCGACAGTTCTCCACCTGCCACAGCCCAGCGTCGACCCCTCTCAGTTTCTCTAGAATAGTTGTGGGGTGCCCCCAGCTCACCTGCACCCCACCCCACTCTCCTCTCAAAACCGAGGCTCTGTGTCCTCGGGCGGGAAGGGCCATGACCTTGGGAACCGCGACTTCCTCAGACGCTGGCTCTGGCCCACTCTGACCTCTGTCTCCTCTCTGGTCTCTGTTGCCCCCTCTGCTGTCCAGCTCCATCTGGCTCCTCCTGAAGAACCCCATGTTCATCCTGCTCTGCCTGGCTGGGGCCACCGAGGCGACACTCATCGCAGGCATGTCCACGTTTGGCCCCAAGTTCCTCGAGTCCCAGTTCAGCCTGAGCGCCTCGGAAGCTGCCACCTTGTTTGGTGAGAAAACGCCCCTATCTTGGGGGTCTTCTGCTTTCTCGTTCATTCTCAGATGGATGGGGGTCTTTGAGTATCTGCTGGACAGCTAGTCCATGCGTGAGCAGGCTGTGGGCGCGTGGGGGCACGGAGACCCTGAGAGCCAGCATCGGGCTTTTACAAAAGGCGAGGTTGCTCCTCTGATGGTATTTACAGCCGCGGGGCCGTCCTTCCTGGCGGTTTGCGAAGCTGACTACAGCGTGTGCCGGGGCTGACCGGTTCTCTCCCCAGGCCCCAAGGAGCCGCCTCGCCCTCCTAGTGGGAACCCGCTCCTGCTGGGGGGCCGGGGGTGGGCTCTGCTCGCTTCACCACCCGCTTACCACTCAGGACCTCTGCCTCTGTCGTCCCTGGCTGGTGGCAGAAAGGGTTTGGGTGGTGACACCCATGGGGCACCTTTGGGCTTAGCTGTCCCCGAGAGCTGGATGGGACCATGAGGGTGGAGACCCCGGACCTGCCCAGCTGGAGGCCGTCTGTGGCCAGAGGCAGATGGGTCCTCCCGGGAGAGCGAGGACCCTTGTCAGACCCTTCCCTCTGCCACTGTTCACGGGGTATCCCTGCACTGGGGGGACAGCCACGGCCTCACCAAGAACAGGCCAGGCAGGAGGTATGGGGGGGTCATCGCAGATGTGGGATTAGTGCTGGCCGTGGGGGTCAGCACCACATGTGGAAAGTGGGTGATCTGAGCAGCCCGCGAGTTAGTCCTCGCCATGCCCCACCCCTCAGGGAGAGGGGCGGCAGATTAGGGTCCCACCCCCTTCTCGGACTAATGTCCCCAGACACCCCACCTTGCCTGGCTGCTTGGCTGACACCGCATGCCTGGACCCCCACCTACAACAACTGCCTCCCCTCCCCACAGTGACCCCCTCTCTCTGCCGACACCCCCTCCTGGAACAGCTGCAGCCGTTGGGGTCCCCCCTCCTGCACCCCCAAAGCTGGCCTCCGTCACTGCCCTGGGGGCTTTGAGGTGGCCTCCACTGGCCCTGGAGAGCCCCCACTGTCGTGTGCGCCCGCCCCTGGGATGGCCTGGGAGCCATGTACCAACTCATCCCAATTGTTCATTAAATGGCGGCGGCCACAGGGTCTCCAGATGTCCTCTCACGCTGGACTCGGCAGAGGCCGTGGTGGGCTGCAGACCCTCCCTCCTCCCAGTCCTGCCCCACCCCCACATCCCTCGGCCTCTGGGCACCCGGTGGCCTCCTGGCAGTCCCCTGACCGAGGCTCTCCCAGCGGACCCCCCGCCCGTGTGGTGGTGAGGGCTCAGGTCAGGGCCGGGCGTGGTGAGTGCCCAGCCCAACGATGCCACCCGGACGGGGAATGATCACCCTGCTTGGTTTCCCCGCCTGCAAAGTGGGACAGTGACACCCGGTGGGTTGACGGCCCCGCCCCTAGGCTCCGAGGGCTCACCCGGCCGCTCCGTCTCTGGCAGGGTACCTGGTGGTGCCAGCAGGCGGTGGCGGCACATTCCTGGGCGGCTTCCTGGTGAACAAGTTCAAGCTCCGCGGCTCGGGCACCATCAGGTTCTGCCTGCTCTGCACCCTGACCAGCCTGCTGGCCGCCTCTGTGTTCTCCATGCACTGCCCCAATGTGCCCATGGCCGGCGTGACGGCCAGCTACGGCAACAGGTGAGGGCCCGGCGGTGCCTGGGCAGAGGGAAGACCCCCAGCATACATGTCGGGACACCTGTGGCCCCAGCGGGGGGAGACCGGGTCAGGACTTGGGATGAGGTCACTGTTTGGACACCAGCAAGGAAGACCCCTCAGTGGGGTGCCCTTGCGCCAACTGATGGTCACACATAAATGGCACCTGAGCCTCGATTGTCTTGTCTGTAAAACGGGACCGTAGTCGCCCCGGCTCCTCACTACATGTTGATGGGGAAAGTGGCCCAGGATCGGCCCCGTGAGTCACTATGTCCTGGGAATGCGGGGAATGGCCCATCAGGTGGTGATTTGGGAATTTCTAAAATCGATGCAGGCTTCCTGCTCCTGGGCCCGGGGATTCCTCCCCCGGGAATGCCCGTGGAGGTGACAGGGCGAGGCTGCAGAGTACAGAGGTGCCGTTGTCCTGTTGTTGGAGACAGCCAGGACTGGAAAGCACCTAGGAGTTGGTGGCAGGTGGACGGGCTGACCTGCCAGGGTCCCCTCTCGGAGGCTCGGCCACCCTCAGTGGAGGAGGGAGCTCTGAGACCCGGTGTCGACGGGAAAAACCGAAGGAGCAGAACAATGGGCCCAGAGTGCCGGATTGGAGTAGAAACAGGGAACGGGTGCCGTCTGCCATGGCTGGTGTGTGCATGGATAGCAATCTGCACGAACACGCGGCCGCAGCCGGCGCTAAAGGACCAGGCCGGCCATGGGGCCCTCATACCTGGCACGCTTTTGTGGTCGTTGCGTTTTAAGCCACGTGAACGTGTGGCCTGTGCGCCACACAAACCAGTTAGGGGCAGCCGTAGGGGTGGTCGTTGCACACAAGCTGAGGCACAGGGGGGCTGGGTTCGCCTTGCTGTGAGAATTTCTGACAAGTCTCTGAGCAAAGGCGATGTGCAGAGCGCCATTCCTCGGGGCAGCATGAACCCACAGATGTGGGCTGGTGGGGATGAGACTGGAGGCTGTGGGACTCTGGCCCCGGCCCCATCGCCACCTTGTCTCCCACCTGCAGCCTCCTGCCCCAAGACCCCTGGGAGCTGACAGCCGCCTGCAACGCCGCCTGCGGCTGCCGGCCAGAGCACTACAGCCCCGTGTGCGGCTCCAACGGCCTCATGTACTTCTCGCCCTGCCACGCGGGGTGCCCCGAGGTGGCCGCGCCAGGTCCGGGCGGCCAGAAGGTGAGTGCGGCCACTGCTCCCGTCCCCATTGGTGCCCGGACCTGGGCGGGCCCCTGTCCCTTCCTCCTGTAATCAGCGCTCTTGTTGCGCCCCTCAGGTGTACCGAGACTGTAGCTGTGTCCCTCAGAATTTTTCCTCTGGTTTTGGCCATGCCACTGCAGGGAAATGCAGTTCAACTTGTCAGAGAAAGCCCCTCCTTCTGGTTTTCATATTCGTTGTAATTCTCTTTACCTTCCTCAGCAGCATCCCTGCGCTGACTGCCACCTTACGGTAAGCCATGGGCCCGGGTTGCTCTGTCTGGAAGCTTCCCTTTCAGGGTGCTAAGGTGGAGCTCGCAGTCCTGTGGGGTCCGCGCCAGGCCCCCAGAAAGCTGCGGCAGGAGAGAGCGAACACCTCTGTGAGGTGCTTGCCACCTGGGGAGGCGGCCGTGCGGCCTGGGGCTCAGCCGGGACTCGGACGTTGGCGTGGGGTATGACGTGGCGAGCGGCCATGCTTGCCCGGGCGCTGACGCCATGGTCTTCCGTTTCAGGTGCGTCTGTGACCAGCAGAGATCCTTTGCGCTGGGAATCCAGTGGATTGTGGTTAGAACTCTAGGTACTGTGCCACGGGAGGAAGCCACGCACAGTGTTGTTGTGTGTCCACTGTGCAAGGGCACCCAGCAGCAGTCTCCTCGCCACGCCTGTGTGTGCCCCGGCAGGAAGCTGTGTCCACCTGGGGGAGGCGCATTCCCTGGCCATCTGCTAGAGGGACCCATGGTCATTTATTTGTCCAGAGGCTGCCTTTACCTGGTGCAGCAAAGGCTCCGTGGGAGTCGGAGATCATGAGGAATCTCCCAGGGATGATGCTGAGTCCCCACCCCAGAAGAAGGGACATTTGAGTCCCCTTGGTGCCGCCTGAGAGCACCGCTGGCTGATGTCACCTCTCTGAGAGCCGGTGCATTCTGTGTCTCTGGCACTGCCCACACCGCCCTGTCGTCCCGGGGCATGTCAGGCAGAGTCCTGAGGGAGCCTCTCTCCACAGGCAGCATCCCGGGGCCCATCGCCTTCGGCTGGCTGATCGACAAGGCGTGCCTGCTCTGGCAGGACCAGTGCGGCCAGCGGGGCTCCTGCTTCCTGTACCACAACGCAGCCATGAGCCAGTACATGCTCATTGCCGGGCTGGTGTACAAGGTCAGCGGGGCCAGCATCTGCTCCCGGGGCACTGGAGGGAGGGAGTCCGAGGGTCTACTCCAAAAGGCCAAGAGCCTTCTCCAGCTGGCTCGGGGGTCCGGGCACTCCACTGGGACCTTCCAACAGCTTAAACCCCACTGGGGCCTGGTGGCTGTAGGGGTCACTCCCACAGCCTGGTTTCCAGAAACACATCCTTTCCACGTTTAGGGCCGTCATTGTCATGCCCTGATGATGCAATGACAGTACAGGGGGCAGTGGGAGAGCAGGCCCCGGGGCCACAGGGCCCCCTCCCCGGCTCGCAGCCCCAGGCGTCAGGAATGGCTCCCTGGCCTCCCAGGGCCTTCCCCAGCACAGCTTGTTGGTTTCCTGTGGCTCCGGTCGGCTGAGGCTTTGGGGAAGTAAGAGCCAGCTGCTCCCCACAGGAGCCGCTCTGGCAGGCGGCTCGCTCCTGGGCTGTCGCTCCGTGGATCCACATGTGATATTGCTCTGTTTCCAATCTTAACGAGCCTTGAGTTTCATCCTGTTTCTTAGCCTGACCTTGTCTTCAGGTTGTTAAGAGAAACTTCATGCTGCATCTCTTGTGCTACGTGGGGAAAAGTACATTATCTATATTTTGAATTTCTCCCCATAGAGGAAAAGGCACAAAACCTTCCAAATACAATGAAATCCTAGGGCCAGTCCTCTTCTTGGAGGGAGGACTCAGGAATGTCCCACTGGCAGGAGCCACTTGCCTCAGCCTTTTCCTGAAGGGCCTTGAGGATTCTCGGCCCCTTTGGTTTATCTTCCGAGGATTAGCATAAAAATAGCCGAGTGTGAGAAGGATTTGTGTGGCTGAGTTAGCAAGGGGTCATTTGTAAAGAGCCCGCCCTCCCCAGGGAGCTTCCCCTTCCTTCCGTGTAGTGTGGACCTCTGCCCAGAGCAGCAGGTGGTACCCCCCTGGCGTCTGTCTGCCCAGATAGAGACCCGTGACCTCAGCATAGCCAGCGTGGACCTCAGTGGTCAGGACTGGCTTCTAAAGTACCTGCTAATTTTAGTAGGGGGAGCAGACAGGTGTGCCCTCCAAATGTTATGCCAGCAGTCCATCACCAGGCCCCAGAGCAGACACGGCCTCGCTCACTGACGTGGCTTCAGGCCCATCAGCCCGTTGATGCTCCAGGAAACAGTGGGCGTTCCTGCTAAAACCACGTCTACACGGTAAACACGTGCACGGCTATGCAGAGGCCTGCAGGCTGGCCCACGCTGTGATCTTTAAGGCCGAGGGTCATCCTGCAATGACCCGTGAGTTCAGCATGGTGGTTGGAGGTGAAGTACCAGCCAGTGCTCACCAGCTCCCAGTTAGATTCCTGGGGCTGCCCCAATAAAGGACCGCAAACTGGCAGCTCAAAACAGCAGAAATTTTATTTTCTCAGTTCTGGAGGCCAGAAGTCCAAAATTGAGGTTTCAGTGGCGTCTGTTCCTGCTGGGGGCTGAGCGTCTCCCAGCTCCCTGTGCTGCTGACAGCTCTCCTGTCCTCGGCTTGTGGACGCCTTGTCCGGGTCTCTGCCTCCACGTTCACACGGCCGTCTCCTCTGTGTGTTTCTTGTTGAATCTCTCTTTTCTCTTATGAGGACACCAGTCACTGGATTTGGGGCCCACCCTAACCCAGAATGATCTCATCTCCAGATCCTTACTTAATTACACCTACAAAGACCCTATTTCCAAATAAAGGTCCTGTTCACAGGTTCTGGGGGCCAAAACTCGGCCATATCTTTTGGGGGGAACACTGTTTAGCCCATGACAAGCCCCCCCACCTCATCTGATGCTTCTGTTGTTTGTCAAATGGTACTTGTCATTCGTTCACTAACAGTGTTGGTGTCCATGCTGGGCTGGCCACGCAGGAAAGATGAGTCTTCTCGCCAGAGCAGGGGTTCCTCAGGACTGAGAGCCTGGGGCTGGGGTCCAGGGGGGCTCAGGACTGTGAGTGTCCGGGGCTTCCAGGCAGGCCGCTCTAGTCCAGCAGGCTCCTTTCTCCCCAGGTCCTGGGCTTCCTCTTCTTTGCTGCTGCCTGCGTCCTGTACAAGCCCCCATCGGGATCTTCCAATGGCCTGGAAGCTTCTCTGCCCAGCCAGTCCTCAGGCTCTGACAACCCCACAGACCTCCAGGATGCCCCCACAGACCTCCAGTTCCAGAGTGATGTCTGATGTCCCACCCCCCGCCCAGGGGCATGGGCCAGCCACTTGGCACTTACCACAACACTGCCTAATCTCTCCCCAAAAGGGCTGACCCTGCTGATTGATCTCCCAGCACTGAGGACCCTTCCAAAATCTCCCACTGGGTTCTGGGGGGCACTGAGCGGAAGGGGGTGTGTCCCAGCCCAAAGGTGCCAAGGAAAAAGAATGCAAGACACACCCAAAGTGGACACGCCACCCTCCTGGCCCCACCGGCCTGGCCCCTGGGCAGTGGGATGACCGCTCTCCCACTAGGAAGGCGCAAGGCCCCACAGCGCCCGAGGCGGTGCCACCTTCCATCCTTCCTCCTGCTCATTTCACACACAGTGGTTGTTTCCCAACGGACGCAGCCGAACAGCATAGACTGGAGCCTGGGGACCCCCCAGACACGTTAAGGGACACTGAAGCAGTCACACCATCTCTCCGTACCTCCCTCAGGGCTTGTGGAAGAGCAGAGCCACCTGTGGGGTTACGTGAGAGGCTCCCATCTTTGGTTTCTTTTCTAAATGGCCGATGTGTGGATCTGGCGGCCGCCTGTTGGTTTAGAAGTTGCTGTTCCCACGAGAGACGGAGAAGCACCTGCCACGACCTTTGATGCACACACAGGCCTGGCCCATGGTCTTTATTGATGCTGCACTGTGCTGTGGGGAGCGCTCTATGGAAGGGACAGAGCACTGACCCCACCACGGGGTGCTGGCAGGCCAGCCGGCACTTCTCAACGGTCCGTCCACTTCATCTGGTGGCTGACCTGGCCCTGACCTCCTGGTGAAGGGAAGCTGGGTGTGAGGCCATCCCCAGGGCGCGTTCCTCCTGGAGCCTTCTCCTCGATGTGTTCACAACCTGCTGTCCTGGAAGCCACATGGCCCCGCAGTGGGACAGGAGCAATGCACATAAGCATGTGATTACAGACCCGTGTTTTGCATAAACGCTTATTTATAGAATTTGTTTTACCTTTGGTGTGGTGGGCATGGCAGCAAACTCAGAGGCACCTGTGAATTCTGCCTGGAGGGCACAGGAGTTTCCTGGACTGTGTGTTTGTGGGCATTCTGAGCTAAAATTGCGTGTATGTTAATATATTTTAATATTTAAAGCACAGTGCCTGTCCAGTGTGTTTTATTTCCATTAATTTGCAAAGCATTGATTTGCACATCCTTCATATGGGTTTTCGTGAGTCTGTGCCCCGAAGTCTGCAGCTGGCTGCCCCAGGATGAGCCTTCACTTGGCCCGGGTCCTCCCGGTGGGTGTCCCTGCCTCACCCCTGCAGGACCCCTCCCTCGTTGTCACCCAGGAGCTTCCTCCCTCCTGGGTCCAGCGCCAGGTAGGCCTGGGTCCTCAACCAGGGTCCCCCTTCCCGCCCCTTTTGTGAATGACCTGGAGTGTTGGGATCCATTCAGGGTCCCGGACGTGACGTTGGTGAGGACCAGTGTGCATGGCGTCTGCTGGGTGAGGGCCCTGTCTGCTCGTCTCCTGGAGGTCACACGTGGCAATCCGAGGCTCCCAGACGTTTCTGGGGAGAAGCAATGATGGAAGCGAAATGGAAACGATCCTCTGGTGGCACTGCCGGCTGAGGTGCCCCAGGGCCTCGGTCCAGTTTGACCAATGCCAGCCCCGAGCTGCTGCAATGCCAAAGGCCGTGCCCGTCCACCCCACCGTCCAGGTACCCTGAGCAAACGCCGTCCTGTCTCATTGCCCAGAGTGTCGGGCTCCTCTGCCACCTGCCACCTTGTCCTCTGGGGCTGGTCTATGAAGACCGGAGGATCACGGCTGTGGGGGATCCTGGGAGGTGCCCTACCTTCTCCAGCATGGGGCCGAATCAGCTGGCTGGATTCCAGCCCCTGACCTGGGGGCTCCCCAGCACCAACCCTGGGTTTGGGCCCTGAACCCAGCACCCCAGCTCCGGCCCCTCCGGTGCGGCCAGGGAGCCCAGAGCATCCGCAGTTGCAGCCTGTGGGCACTGGGGGGCAGCACAGACACGTCCTGGGCATAGGGTTCCCTCCTGCCGCAGGCCCTGGTGGACCCAAGTCCCTGTTCCCAGCAGCATCCTGTCCCCCTAAATGCAAGCCAAAACGGGGCGTTGCTTCCTTCCTCTCCCCTAGGAGATGTTTCTGTGAACGTGAACTGGATGCCAGTCCTTCTACAAGTCGGACCCGGCCGTGTCCACCTGCCAGGAGCTGGGCAGGGCCTGGGGCTACGCTGGGAGCAGGAAGCAAACAGCCTCCTTGGCCTTGTGCACGATGTTTGAGGATTCATCCAGTACCTGCTGCATGGCTGTGCTGGGCGACTGGGATGGTCGAGGCCCTGCCCTGGGAGCCTCGATAGCACACCCAGGCCGGGCGGGAGGGCAAAAGAGACCGGGACTCACGGCTCAACCGGGTCGCTGGGACTGACCCACGGGCAGCACCAGGCACCCCTGACGCCCTCGCCCAACGGAGGATCCCCCGGCCCACTCGCGGGGTGGGACCGGACCTGGCAGCAGCTGATGCTCCTGGGTCCCCTCGCTCTCGTCTCTGCCCTTGAAAAGGGTCCGAGCTGGGCAGTGCTTGTTCAAGCCCACTTTCCTTTCAGCTTTATTGAAATAGAGTACACGCCACATAATTCTCCCATTTAAAGTGAACAACTCGGGGGCTGTGAGATGTCCACAGACTTGTGCAACTATCACCACAGCTGACTGGAATGCTCTATTCACTGCAAACGGACCCCTTGAGCCATGGCCATCTGGCAACCGCTGGTCCACGTTCTGTCTCTGTGCCTGGTCTGGGCATTTGTTCCCTATAAATGGAATCGCACTCCGGCCTTCCGTGTCGGGCTACTTTCCCTGAGCCTCCTGTTTTGAGGCCCATCCATGTGTCGCGTGTGTCAGCGCTTCATTCAGTCTCTTCTAAGGCCGAGTAATGTCCCACCGTGCCGACAGGTCCCGTTTGCTGATCACGTTATTTAAGGAAGGAAAGGTCCCTGGCGTCTCCCAGCTGTTTCCAGGCTGAAATGCAAACGTCTGAGCGCTGGGGCCTTGGAATTAGGATAACACCCTCCAACAGGACTCGGACCATAAGCCACACTGGAGTGTCCACGGGGGACACGAGCATCCTCCACCCGCCCAGGAGGACGCCCTTTCAGCCCAGGAATCACCCACTTTCCATTTCCAGGTTCCACCAGGCAGGCCTCGTGCCCGGGTCAGACTCGCACCTGGCTCAGGCTTCCTCTGTGCTTCCTGGTTGGTGAAACTGGGGGTCCTTCGGGAGGATGCCCAGCACCCTGTATGTGCACACACACCCATACACACCCAGCACACACACACCCCCATATGCACACACACCCCCATACACACACAGCACACACACCCATACACACACAGCACACACACCCATATGCACATGCACACCCATATATACACAGCACACACACCCAGCACACACACCCATACACACCCAGCACACACACACCCATATGCACACACACACCCATATACACACAGCACACACACCCATACACATCCAGCACACACACCTGTACACACCCAGCACACACACCCCTACACACAGAGCACACATACATACCCATACGCGCACACACACATACACACACATACACAGCACACACACCCATACACATACAGCACACACACCTGTACACACCCAGCACACACACCCGTACACAGCCAGCACACATACATACCCATACACGCACACACACACACCCAGCACACACACTTGTACACACCCAGGGCGTGCACACTCAGCACACACCCATATGCACCCACAGCGCACACACACGCACGCACACACACCCCCATACACACATAGCACACACAGACGTACACACACATGTACACACACAGCACACACACGTACACATACAGCACATGCGTACACATGTACGTACACACCCATGCACACACACCTGTACACACACACATGCACATACTCCCCCTCCGTCTGCCAGTCCCAACAGCTGCATCTGCACCCGCCCTGTCGGCTGCACTCCCAGGCGGTGAGGTCCACGAGGGGAGCCTGCCAAGCTCACTGCTGAGACCACTGGGCCGGGCCAGCCAGGGAGGTGCACGGGGCACAGGATGCTGAGGAGGCAAACAGCAGGGGCAGATGCCCGGAGGGGCAGGAGAAGCTTCCTGGAGAGGTGACATCAAAAGGAAGGAGCAGGGTGACGCGGGTGGTGAGCAGTCACCAGGGCCCAAAAGGAGACAAAGCTTCGGGACAGAAGTGAGGCTGGTGTGGTGCTGGAAACCCTGCAGGCAGCCCAGGGGAGTTGTCGGCTGTGGGCGAGATAGAGAGAGAGAGAGAGACGAGGCCAGAGGGGCAGGGCCAGGGTCGGCACGGAGGGTGAGCTTCCATGCCGACGAAGAACGGCAGCCTCCATTGGAGAGGAGCGTGCTTCCAACGAGAAACCCCGGAGGAGCGCTGTGGGCCCGGACAACCTCGCCCTTCCAGCTTCATCGCAGCCCGATCCTGAGGCTCAGCCTTCTCGCCCCATGTTCCAAGTGGCAGCCTCGGCTCCTGGCAGCTGGACCGAGGACAGGAGAAGGAAGGTCTGGGCAGAACACATGCAGCTCCTCCCGGAGTTCCCGAGACAGACGCAGGTGACACTGTTCATACCACACGGATGCGAACTGTCACGTGTTCCCATCACAGGAGTGAGTCGGGAAAACCAGCCTAGTCCCCACTGGAGGTCACACCAGTCCCGCAGGAGCTGTATGGCATCAAAGCTCTGGGTGGAGATGTCCTGTGGGGGACCCCAGGACGAGGGGCAGGAGGAGGAAGCTGCTCACGTGAAAATGGGGAGGAGTGAGGAGTCGGGGAGGAGCCAGTGCATAACGGGGAGGGTGGAGGGGCAGCACCTGGCACCCCAACCCTGCTGTGCGACACTGTGCTGAGGGCTGTCTGTCTCCCAGCCGCAGGTGGTCAGATTGTCCCCATTCTTTGGGAGCCTGAGGCCCTGGCCATGTTCCCTGTGGTCCCACAGCGATAAATCGGCTGGGGCACGAGTTACGGACTGAATGTTTGTCCCCGCCCCCAGAGTCCTGTGTGGAACCCCTGACCCCCAGTGAGACGGTACTGGGAGGTGAGCAGGGTTAGATGAGGCCGTGAGAGTGGGGCCCCCATGATGGGATTGGCGCCCTCATGAGAAGAGGATGAGCCCAGAGCCTTCTCTTTCTCTACCACGTGAGGACACAGTGAGAGCGGCCTGTGACCCAGGAAGGGTTCTCCCTGGAGCCCGACCGCACCGGCACCCTGACTCGACCTCCAGCCCCCCGTCTGTGGGAGACAAGTGTCTGTTGTTTGCAGTCATGGCACCTCAAGCCGAATAAGGCAGCAGGATTTCAACCCCTGTCTGCCGGCTCTGAGGCCCACCCGTCCAGTCCTGGTCCAGTGCCCTGCCCTCCGGATGCAGGAGGCCAGAGGGAGGGAGAGGAGAGCCCTGTGTTTGCACAGTGAACCAAAGCTCTGAGCTGAGACGGCAGCGGGCAGGGGCTCTGAGTGTTCTGACTCAGTGCACACGACCTGGGGGGGCGGTTCGCAGAGGGGCACACACAAGCTGCTTGGCCCGCCAGGGACTGGGGCAAGAGCTGCCAGGGACTGGGGAGAGAGCTGATCTGCTATGACGTCCAGTCCGCCTTCCTGCAGTGGTGACACTTCACCATCACTGACGAGGTGGGCCCAGCTTCCTGCCCACGGTCCCAGGAGGGCCTCCTCATAGCCAACACTGCGCTGCAGCCCCAGCCCCGGGTCTCTGCAGCTCCCAAGTGCCACCACCCCACCTTGACTCTGGGCCGGGTTGGGGGGAGCCCGGGCCACCTCTGCGCCACCCCCTGCCTTCCTCACTGAAGCTCGCTGGGCTCCAGATCCAGATCCAGTGAAGGGACGGAGCAGACGGTTTGCAGAGGCAGCCGGAACACGGGGAGAGAGAAGTCTGGTTACAGCAGGCCTGCCTCTGGCCCTGGCACCCTGGGCCGTGGTGACACAGGGGCTGCGTGACTCACGGTGTGGGAAGTCCTACCACAGAGGCCAGAACTGACGCAACCACAGCCCTGCAGGCGTCTCGAGGATCACAGGCGTACAGCCGGCAGGCACGTGCATGCTGCC